AATACGTAAAGGTGAATGTGATTGTGTTTCAAAGGAAACAATGTACCGGTCTCCGGTTGTATAATGTAGATAAGATTTTATGCCAGCACGGCAAAAAAAATAATTAAATGTTCACGGTAAATACTAAAAGAATACTACAACGACCTCTGTCGTKAACAAAATTGTGGTCGCTGAATATTCCTATATCACCGCTTATCTGTATATTCTAAAATCAATGGTATGGCTGACATCAATAAATCGTCTGATGCACTGAAAATTGAATCTTTCCGTGCCAATTTAAGTGGACCAGCTCAACAGTGGTTCAGGACTCGTATTTTTATCACCTGGGAAGATTTTGAACAACAGTTTATGCGATCATTTGTGAGTACAAAAAATCGCACTGAATTATGGTATTTGCCAGTCGCTAGGTCGCAGTTAAAAAACGAAACTACCATCAACTATTTTTATGACAAAATACTATTATGCAGCGATTTGGAACTGTCGTTTGAGGAAACAAAAACTCAACTGCTAAAGGGATTTTATTCTCAAAGTATGGTCACTTATCTATTGTCAAGACAATACAATGTTACTGACAGTATTCTTGATGACATTCTGACTTATGAACGGTTAAATAAAGTGCGTTCAACTCGCTTTAAGTCTAATAACAGTTCTGACAAACAATTAGATCCTAATTCAACTTTACTACCTAAAACTATCAGTATTAAGAAGAATGAACGATTAATGGAGTCGGTAAGAAGTGAACCAAACCGTTGCTTTAACTGCTACAGTCTATCGCACACCATCCGAGACTGTCTTAAACCAAAGCGGAAACCAGGATCATGTTTTAAGTGCGGATCAATGGGACATAGCCAGCAAGATTGCAAAGTAACCAGCACCACTTCAGCGACAAGCGGTGATGACCCAGTTACCATGATTGAGATCAACAAACCAGGTAATCCACCATTGGTGCTGAATATTGATGTTGAATGTGAAGGAGTAAAGTGGACAACAGATGCGATCGTTGATACAGGTAGTCCAATATGTATTATTAAACAAAGAAGTGTACCGTCTAATGTGTTAGTTACTCCTGTTAGTCCTAAGTTAACTGGAATTAATAATAGTCCATTGAAGGTGATAGGAATTATTGACTCAACTATTTATGTTTCAAGTATATCTGTTCAATTAAATACTGTATTTTATGTTGTTGATAATGGAACTACGAGTTATGATTGTTTACTTGGTAGGAGTTTTACATGTAATAAGTCAATTAAATTATTAGTTAATGGAAGTTTAATGATAGAAAAAATAGATACTCATGATGATTACATTTTTGATGATATTATGCTTATTGATGTGGATGTTACAAACTCACATAGGTTAGATATTAACAGTGATTAGTGTGTCAATCTTCAGGACCAGGTTAAGGACATTTTTAATAAGTGTTATGTTAATGCATCTAAGCCAGTGGAAATTGATTTTAAATTAGAGATGGAAGTTATGTTACAAAAAGACCACATTCCCTTTTATTTTAGGCCAAGACGTATGCCTTACATGGAAAAAGAAAAACTTAAACCCATAATTATTAATGAGATGCTTATTAATAAAATTATTAGACCAAGTAGTTCACCATATTGTTCACCCATTGTGTTAGTTAAAAAAAAAGGTGATTATAGACTTTGCATTGATTTTAGAGAACTGAATAAAATTACAATTAAGGACCGTTTCCCATTACCCTTAATTGATGACTATTTGGATATGCTAAAAAACAAAAAGTTTTTTACACGATTAGATCTTAAAAATGCGTTTTATCATGTCAAAGTTAAAGAGGATTCAATTAAATATCTCTCATTTGTAACTCACATGGGTCAGTTTGAGTTTATGCGCATGCCTTTTGGTTTTTGTAATAGACCAGCTATTTTCATGCGTTATATCAATAACATATTTCACTTACTAATTGAATAAAATAAAATATTAATTTATTTGGATGATATTTTAATTAGTACACATACTGTTGATGAAAATTTGGAAATATTAATTGAAGTTTTTTCAATTATGTCACAGAATCATCTCGAACTCAGACTAGATAAATGTTCATTTTTACAAGAAAAAATTCAATATTTAGGCTATGAAGTCAGTTTTAATGGTATACAACCCAATCCAGATAATATTAATGCAATAAATAATTTTCCTATCCCAAAAAATGCTAAAGAGGTTCATAGTTTTCTTGGTTTGGCTAGTTAATTTAGAAGGTTTGTGAAAGATTTTTCAATTATTGCTAAACCTTTATACAATTTAATTAGAAAAGAAAGTGAGTTTAATTTTGGGGAAGAACAATTGTCTGCATTTGAAAAACTAAAGACATCTTTAGTCTCTTCTCCAGTATTATGTTTATATTCTCTATCATTAGAGACCGAATTGCATTGTGACGCTAGTCAACTGGGTTTTGGTTCTGTGTTGGTTCAAAAACAAAATTTTGATAATAAGTTTCACCCTATATTTTATTTCAGCAAACTTACCACCGATTATGAGACTAGATACTATACTTATGAACTTGAGTGTTTAGCCATAATTTATGATTTAAAAAGATTCCATATTTACTTACAGGGTATTCCATTTACCATTGTTACAGATTATGATAGTTTAAGATTAACGTTAAACAAAAAAGATATTTGTCCTAGAATAATGCGTTGGGCATTGTATTAACAAGATTATAATTATACAATAGTTCATCGTTCTAATAACCAAATGTTTCATGTTGATTCCCTTAGTAGAATTCAAAATATACTCGTGTTCCACTATCCAGAGATAGGAAGCATTCGTATAAAGTTAGAAAATTCAGATAAACCGTTTTATGAATTACGTAACGGCTTAGTATACCGTATACCGTACGGTGCGCAAAAAATTACTTTTTTATGTACCAAATGAATTAATTTATAATGTTATTAGAACCTGTCATGACCACATGGGCCATGTCGGTGCTGATAAAGTAGTTGAGCTTATTCAAAATTCATATTGG